GTGAACACGTGCGGGTCGCCTATGAGGGCCTGATATTTTAATGCTAGTCTGATTGCTGTATCTCTCCAAAAATCACTCCGGCCAACAAAATGAACTTTACCTCTTCAGTAGCGGTAGCTGGTTTCTAAAGAAACTTTTTCAACCACAAAGAAGCGAGTACCAAAATATTTTTAAAACCAGAGTGTGTTTTTCCACAGAATGAATTTTCTTTCACTAGTGCTGAGGAGCAAAGCAGTTTCCTCAAATTGTCATCGCAACACCATTATACCACTTACCGACGTAACAGAGACGTCAAGAAATGGCAAAATTACTCAAGCGATATTGTAACACTAAATCATCAAAAACTCCTTAAAAGTTATGTTGGCAAACCTGAAACTATTGTGGAAGGATCAACCAGTGTCAAGAATTTATTTTAAAGAACTTAAGTTAGGTTACTAAATCAAAAAAACATATTTGTCGAGGAGCGGGGGGTTAGAGGAAGCAGATGCGCTAAGCTGCGAAAATTTGAAAAATTCTTTACGGTAATTTATGGCTTCAACTGCTAACAATTTCACCAAGTTGTGCAATCTGTTAATTTCTCGTTTGGGTATAACTGATATTTGATTATGAATAAGCGACAGATGTGTGGTGTCGCTTGGGATTCCCGCTGGAAATTCAAAAAGTCCTTTTCGTTCACATTTCACAACAGATTCCTGACAGTGACAATCAACTGGACAGTAATTCCCGTTATCACCACACACTCCTTCTTCGTTCGCTGAAAGGTAAAAAATTCCTTGAACACGAAAGTTTTTTGCTGATTGCCGCTCTAAAGTGCATCACATTCTAGGAACTCAAAAAGTCATAGGTTATTTAAAAATCGAGTAAATATCACGTGTTTTGCCTACAATATCTTATCCAAATTTCTTAATGTAAAATTTCTCTAACTTTCAACTTCTCAAAATTTTGAACAAATTTGCAATTTTCTGCTAAACTTTTCAATTAAAAATGTCGAAATTTTTGAACAACGTTTAAAAAATGTGTACAAAGCTCTCACTTCTGCATTGTAGCTGACTTTTTGCAAGTGTTGCAATCGGTCTACCGCTTAATAGGCGAGGTTCAGCACAAAGCGGTTTATCTTTCACTTTCGTTTGATTGACTTTCAAATAGTTAGCCAAATCGGCGACGTTACAGTCACATATGAACTCGTTATGTGATAATAAACTATAATTTTCCATAATTTTGGTGTTTTTGAATATGATTGATTAGGCCAGCAAAAAATTACTTATGACTCGTAGTTAAAGAATTTGCACAGTTTAGAGTGTCAAGTCGCCGAACTAAAAATCTTTCTGTTATCTTTCTGAAGATGTGCATTCGTTCTCAAGAGTTTCTATAAGCTGGGAAAATTACTTACAGAAACCGAAGTGAAGACAGATGCGAAAATGTGCCCTTGGTGATGCATTTTATTCGGTTATAACTAAGGTCCCTTAAAAAGATATATTTAGACTGAAGCTCTCAAAAATATACCTACACAGTCAGGTTTATTAAAAAATTTAAAACTATACACGAATCGCATTTTAGAATTTAGGAAACAGCAGAAACTTTTTTTTTTGCATCTCGCTGGTCAGTAGTGCGACTAAGCTTTTTTACAAACACAGTTTCTAGTTAGTTGAAAATCAAACACACAGTTATATGTTACTTTGGGTTTAGAGTTTATAGCTAAAATAACATTCAATATGCATTAAAAAACAAAGATTTGCTCGATGATACAGTTTTTAATCGTATTCGTTTTTGTCTTTTTAAACCCTAGGTTGCAACTCTAAAGTTGCTGAGCATAGAAATAAACAACATTGTGCAGGCTTTTTTTCTCATAAGAAAATAAACCTTGAAGTAACTGATATTACATTTGTTTTAAGCAGTACAAACTTTCTAACCATAAAACAATGAAGCTTACAAAAATTTGAGCGATGTAAAGTTAGCAAAATTCGATGGTGTTACGCACTCCACAAAATTGTTATTGAGTACACTAAAAACAACTGTTGATGAAATCGTATTTGAGAGCTCTTCAGTGCTGTTGCAGAAACATTTTTAAAAACTGTGTGAAATAATAGAGTCAAAAAAAGTGCTGCTACATTAATTCGAGCATTAGGAATCTAATCAAGACAAGGTTAATAACTGTCACCTTTATTGTTATTAAAAAATTGACTGACGTTACTTACTAATATGTTTCAACTTGAAAAAAAAAGAATATATGCTATTAACAACCGGAAAATAGTTAAGCTGTCGCTTTGATAATCACTTATCACCTCTGGCTGTAGAGTGTTAATTTTTTGCAGACAACTTACAGTTTTTGGATTATTGAAGCAGTATTTCCAAGATGGACGGTACCAAAAAATCTGATCTGATTTGAGCTTAAATCTCTAAAATAAATGAAAAGTAACTTAAATATAATTTTTGTGCAATTTTCGAACGCCAGTGGGTTATCTCTAAAGTTTTGCTGTTTTATATAAAAAATATCACACAATCAAAAATGCTGCAAAGTGAACAAACGAAATAAATTTTAATAAAAAACATTTGCAAAAACAGCTGCTTAAAAACTTGTTGTTTTACTCTATTTTATACTTTTCGCATGTAAGTTAACGTTAAAAGTAAAATCAACTTACATTTCTTTAATACTTTTTAAATCTTTAAAAGCTCCAAATTCCAGAGTAGAAATCCTATTCTTACGTAGAATCCTTAAAAAAACAAATTTTTACAAGCTGAATTATACAATAGTCAATTTGAGCTACAAAATTTTGTCTGCTGTTTACAAATTAAATAAACAAAAATTAGATTATTAAATAATTTTAACTTACAATTTCTCCAACTTATCCAGACTGTTTTGCTTAGAAATGACCTGAATTACAGTTATTTGATTGTTTGACAATCGAAGCTCTGTTGCAAACGAAGGAACTTCAGTTGGGAATTCTGTTAGACCAATACCACTAATCAGAAAAAAAAAAGGAACTTTATTTATTAAATTTCTAAAAGCTGCAAAAATAGTCATTATCGTATAGTTGTAGGTTAATCACTAATTTCATACTCATTTTAACTGAAGTAATTCTGAAAGAAGTTTTATATTATATATTTGGATTTGCTGTTATTATTAAAAAGTTTTCTTGTCTGCAAGAATACCTGCAGTCTACCACTGCGTCTTTGCAGGTGCATTCCGTGGGGCACTCGTAGTCAATTATACATTCTCCGGCTCGAGCTGTCATTAATTGTTGAGATCCTAGAATATAACTGTTCCATTTTTTTGTCCTGTTGTCATTTGCCATTATTTTATTTTACTTTTCATGCTATTATATCCAACAGATAAAAACTAATATTTATTTAACTTTATTGCAGAAATTTTTAAATTAAAAGAAAACTAATATAACCATATTTTTCGTAGTTGTATAAAAATGCCATTGTTACAAAGCTTTCCAAAATCAACATTGAATTTTTGAAGAAAAGTGGTTTCTTTTGACTAGGAAAGAATAGAAATTGCTTTATTTTTTAGGAAAACCTTCACAGTCAAATATCCGTTTTGAGTGACTTTTTGCAGATAGCAGTGGGAGGCCAGCAATTTCCCTTGGCCAACTGCATACTGCACCAGAAGTTTCCATCGGTCGCCTTGACAAAAGTTTAATTAACCATCCCTAAAAACAACTTTCGAAATCATGTTATTAATCATTTTTAAATACTCACTTCTGTATCTTGTTGCAAATAAAACTCAGAATATTCAACAAATCTAAACTTGAAAGTAATAATAAAATTTTAATCAAAATTAACAAACTAAATTGCAATCGCAGATTAGTGGATTTTTCCCCAAATGAACTGTGTGCAGATGTGGCAAATTGTCAAATGTTCCTTCGGCAATTGATCGTACTTCATTTTGAAACAACGAAAGCAATGTCAAATTTCTAAGATCCTTAAAGGTTTCTTTCCAGACACACCTAAGTCTGTTGGAGTTCAGCAGAAGCATTGTTAGGTTCTTTAGGCCACGGAACGTGTTTTGATGAATTTCTGTGATATTGTTTTTGTAGAGAATTCTGCAAACAAAAAGCTGTTGAGTGAGTGCTACAACAGAACTGTAGTAGCTTCAAAAATGTAGTACAGTTTTGAATAAAAAACACATAACAACACTAAGCAATCAGCAATGCTTAAAATAGTTTTACAGCGATTTTAGTGAGCCGAGTCCTTGAAAAGCATCTGGTGCTATTTCTGCAATACTGTTAGAGCTTAGGTCTCTGAAATTGGTCACTTTATCCAGGAATAAGAAATATTGTTATTAGTGGTGAAACAGCTAAGAAAATGAAGTATTTTCTATTAAAGCTCAAAAGTGGACACTGTGTGACAGAAACGTAAAACTATATAATAAAAAAACTGCTGCATTGACTTACAGATCTAAAAGTAAATGATGGTGTTGAAAAATTCGAGGTGGAATATAAGTAATCTGATTACCACCAAGTCGTCTAAAAACAACTTTTAGACCAAAAATTATGTTGAAAAACAAAACACTTGATCAATGTCATATCTTTACAATAACTTTACAATTTTTTAACATTAGAAGCATTCTTAACAGACTAATTTTATAAAATACTGTACGTAACAGTTTCCTGATATGAATTTTACTGCTTAAATAAATTTTCGTCTAGATATTATCGGCATTACTGCTGTACCTATCAGTTACTTACATTTCTTGTGCCGATGCGGGTAGATTAGCTGGAATATGTGTTAAACCACGATCTTTGCAGTCCACCAACGAATCTGTACAGATACACATCGGTGGACATACTGCTGTTTCTCGACAAGTTTTAGCTGCTCTTTTTTCAATTCCTGAGCATTTTAGGTCCTAAAAGAGAAATGTAACAACAATTTTTTCAGAGCGGAATAACAGACGAAATGATGAGCAAATTTTCTATAAAATCTGTTGCATCATAAGCGTAGCTACTAAATATTACAGTACCGGGCTATGCAATAGTAGTAAACTTTTATACGACAACAAAAAAATATTTTCCGATTTTGAATTTAGATAAATCGCTTTATAAAATTTCTGATCTAACTTTTTTGAGTGATCTAGAATAGTGATGAAGGTGCAAAAAGCCAACGTAATAATTCTTTAATGTAAACTCTGTATATTACTGTTTAATTTTCAGTGTGAAAAGATAGCATATTTTTGCCATGACAAGCTTGAAAACATTTTCCTATTGTTTTTTTTTTTTTTTTTTTTTTTTT